ATATTTAACACTGGAACACTTGCTCTATAAAGTTCCCTTTCCAAGAGCCATTTGTGTGTTGAATAAGATGGACCACTAGAATTTAACCACAAAGAAAATGGTATAATGGTTCCCCTGAGGAAAGGTCAAGATTGATTATTGATTTAGTCTTTGCTTTTTGGTGTATTCATCTTCAAAGCTAAGCCATCTGCCAACATAACATCGTTTTTCCATCCTCCTCTGCTTTTGCAGGAAGTTGTGTTTGGCATGAACACACTCTCTGATGATTTGAATAAATAAACAGAATCCCTCTTAGTTACTTACTTGCTGTCAACTTTTAATTGGTATTTATATAATGGGCAATATGTTGTTTAGTTGCTATTAAGTAAAATCAGCATGGAAATCAATAAGCAATGGCTTTTAATACCATTGCTCTCTATCCAGCCACAAGCCCAATAATCACCTTTGGAACTGCCTTTGAAATTTAGAAAAATAAAAACAAACACGAATTTTATTTATTTAGGGATTGGAAATATGACCAACAACACCACCTTATAGTGTATATTCCTAGATGCTAGCACTCACTAGAATGTTTCTTTGGGTAAAAATCTTGGAGCAAAAATCTTGAGCAAAACAAAATGCAAATTTTGTTGAGGCTGCATTTCTGTACCTCTGTTTCATAACACTCATTTGGAATATATTGATTACATACAAAATGAAAGTGCTTTTTTCCTGTTTGCTTGGTAAGCTGTAATCTTTAAGTGGTTAAGTCACAAGGTTACTACAACTAACCTTCACTTTTATTTCTTAATGTTATGCTTGATTATTATACATTCGTTAAACTTTGGTTCATGCACTAACAGCTATCCAGATACAACAGCCTGCAAGGACGATGACTTAGCTGTTCGCTTCTTTGAAAGAAGGGGACAGGATGTGGGGTTGCCCATCTCTATGTGCACATCTGAGAATGGAGAGATAAATGTCTAGAGTGACTTGGTGTCCCAGACACAGCAAAATTACAAAATTATTTCATGATTTTTCCATACCAGTTTCAAAAACGTTACAGGTTAAGATTACAGGATCTCTCTCTCTCTCTCTCTCTCTCTCTCTCACACACACACACACACACACACCACATTGCTAAAATTGTTAGATGAATGGCTGCAAGTTTCAATATGACATAATGCCACAAGTCACTGCTTTGATTTTTTAAAGACTAGATGATAATTGTTTGATCATTTTATTAAAAAATAGTCCTAGATGTCAAAGACTTTCCTCCATCAAAACAAGTGTTATTAACTTCAATTATGGCTGCCAGGAGAACTGTGAAGTCCTTTTAGTGTATTTCAAAGTATTTCATCTGGACATTTTGGAAAAACATACATTCTTATTCATAACCCCCAGAACTGTTCTGATTTATAAGCTCTGCTCAACTGTAAATCATGGAAATGAAGATTTTTTTTAAAAATGCGATGGCATCAAGCCTGAGCAAAGGGAAGAAGGAATGTAGTTTTTATATTGCCAATTACCATTAAACATTATATTTGTTTATTTAGTAGAGAGTCCAAGATGCATACACAGGAAGGCACAGTGTAATTATCTGAACTTTTATTGAAAGAAAGAAAAAATAAATCTCTTAAGTGATTTTAGCAGTTATATTTGTAGCACTGCAACCTTGAAGGAAATACTAATATTTGTGTCAAAGCGGAAAAATGCTTTTAGTCAATGTTTAATTGACAAAGTTGATTGAAACTATATTTCAGCTGCTTTGTGGGACATCAAGTCTACTTGAAAAAATGAGTTGATCCTCCATCAATTAAGGTGAAAGAATTGTGGAAGCTGGTGGTCATTATGGTGTCTGAGGCTGCTTTGTGGAGGAGTGGAAGGCGGAAGGCTGCTTCTCTATGAGGCAAAGGGCAGCGACTGCAGCCTTAGATGTCAGTCATGAAGTACAATAATGAACTTCAAAAAATATGATTTCCACCCACAAAGTGACATCCAGTGCCTGTATCCAGCCTGTGTATTAGGGGAAAGTATTTTCTCTCATAACACTGGAACTTGTGGACATCCAATGAAGTTGAATGGTGGAAGATTTACGGCAGATAAAAGGAAGTCCTTCCTCATGGCTGGTGCCTTCATTATGTATCTTTATTTTATTTTATTTTAAAATATTTTTTATTGGTTTTTCTGTATATACATCCTCTAATAATATTTCTCTAGCAGTTTTCCATATTTTCCTCCCGCCTCCCCTGGACTTCCCTCATACTCCCATTTTGTTTTATTTCCATATTGTTCACCCTGCAAATTGCTTCCCCCAAAATTCCCCAATACATATAATCTTATTTTTTATTATATACAGTTGTGATTGTTTACTCAAACCCTGCCAATGAGTCCAGTTCTTTATATTGCCTCTTCATATACAGTATATTGTAAATGGTTCCCATTCTCTTTTAAAGTCTTTGTTGTCTTTTTCATGTAGTTTATCTGTTAGTTTTGCCAGTTCTGCATATTCCATAAGTTTCCCTTGCCTTTGTTCTTTTGTTGGTATTTCTTCTGTCTTCCAAGCTTGTGCTAATGTAATTCTTGCCGCTGTTGTTGTGTACATAAATAATTTCCAATTTCCCTTTTTTATATCTTGATCTAAAATTCCTAAGAGGAATGCTTCTGGTTTTTTTAACAAAAGTTTTTTAAACATTTTTTTCAATTCATTATATATCATTTCCCAATAATTTCTAACCTTTTTGCATTCCCACTACATATGATAAAATGTACCAACTTTTTCTTTAGAGTTCCAACAAGTTTTTGATCCCTTTTTACACATTTTAGCCATTTTCTCTGGAGTAATATACCATCTATACATCATTTTCATATAATTCTCTTTCAGTAAAATACAATCTGTAAATTTTAAATTCACCTTCCGCATCTTTCCCAGTCTTCAAGTTGTATATTGTGACCTACATCCTGTGCCCATTTTATTTGTGCTGACTTTACCATTTCATCCAGTGTTTCCCCATATAGAAGGAGACTGTACATTCATTATGTATCTTTAGGCGCCAGGCCAAAACGTTTCTCTTCCACCAGGCGTTGGGCTACTTAACATTCTAGGGCCTTTTAAATATGGGAGGGAGTTACCGTATTGGTTTGTTTTGCTTTTACTTTATTATTTATTTTGTGTTTTCCTGAGAGCTTCTGTGCTCACTGGTTTCCCTTGAGGGCATCTGGTTTGCCACTGTAAGAACAGGATCCTGGACTAGATGGACCTCATCCAGTAGGCTCTTCTTATGTTCTCAATATCAACCAACCTGTTTATTGGGATTATTAACAGAGGCTCAACTCTCAACTCCTCCATCATTTGAGGTGAGGTGGGGGGGGCAGCCAGGAAAAGTGTGCAGTGCTGTCCACTTATAGAGCTCTCTCCCAGGGAGGTTTGACTAGTGCTGACTTTATTATGCTTTCAGTGAAAAGAAAATACTTGCTTGTTCTCATAGCTCTTTATTTTTTTTTTAAACTGATGCTTTCAATTGCTGGTGTCCACTGTGATATTGTTTTGCTGGTTTTCTTGTATTGTTGTGAAGAGTTCTGGGAGCTGTTTGATTGCAGGGCAGTACATAAATATCTAACACAATATTACATTACAATAAACCTCTTTTGTTGACCACCAGCATTACGCTTTCCATTTTTAAGTTCGGAAAAGAGTAGTTGCTTTGGAAGATGACCATCAGGCATCTGCACAACATGACCAGTCCAACAAAGTTGATGTTGAAGAATCATTGCTTCAACACTGGTGATTTTTGCTTCATCCATTCCACTGATATTAGTTCGCCTGTATTCCCAAGTGATGTGTACAATTTTTCAGAGACACCGTTGATGGAATCTTTTATGGAGTTGGAGATGGTGTTTGTAAGTGGTCCATGTTTCACAAGCATATAGTAAGATTGGCAGTACAATAGCTTTGTAAACAAGCATCTTGGTTTCCCTGCGAATGTCCCAGTCCTCAAACAAATCTCAAGTCTCAAGTCTCAAGGCAAATCTAAAAAAAAGTAGTATAAACACCAACAACTGGGAAACACTGGCCTGCGAACACTCCAGTTGGAGAACAGCCTTTACCAAAGGTGTCATGGGCTTTGAAGACACTCGAACTCAGGACGCAAGAGAGAAACGTGCTAAGAGGAAGGCACATTTGGCAAATCCACACCATGATCAACTCCTGCCTGGAAACCAATGTCCCCGCTGTGGAAGGACGTGTGGATCCGGAATTGGCCTCCACAGTCACTTATGGACTCATTGTTAAAACCGTGTTTATGGAAGACAATCTTATTTGGCTGCAAGTGATCGCCAAAGAAGAAGAAGAAGACATTACAATGAAATATTTCTAGAACAAATTTACGAAGTGCTTTTACAGTGCAAGCCTCTACTTGTTAGGAGTGGTTTTAGGGTTGCAGCATCTTCCTCTTCAATGATGCTTCTTGTTTAAGTCCCTTCCGTGTGTGTGTGTGTGTGTGTGTGTGTTTTCAACAAGTGAACATAAAACTTGGTTTCAAATCAGGCAGATGGGTCAAAAACTAATATTGTGATCATCTTTAAACAGTCCCGGCTGCCCCCAAAGAATCCTGAGAACTGTACTCCACTGTTTGGTGCTGAGAGTGGTTCGGAGACCCCTATTCCCTTCATGGAGGTTCAATTGTCAGAGTGGTTGAACGGTCAATCATTCTCCCCAGAGAATTGCACCTCTATAAGAGGAACAGGGGTCTCTCAACAACTCTTAGAACTACAGATCCCAGGGTTATTTAGGGAAAGCCATGGCTGTTTAAAGTGGTACAATACAATTTTAAATATATTGTACAGTGCAGACGGGGCCTCATTCAGGTATTTCCCAGCCCTAGGAATGTGGAAGAAATTTGGTTCAGTTAGCATTTTAATGAAGCTCACTAATTTGCATTATGCAAAATACCGGTAGTATAGAATAATAGAATTGTAGAGTTGGAGGGTCATCTAGTCCAGCCCCCTGCAATGCGGGAATCTTTTGCCCAATGTGGGGCTCGAACCCACAACCCTGAAATGAAGAGTCTCATTCTCTACTGAGTGAGCTAGGAAGAGGTCATGAACCAATATCTGAGTTATTCTTAAAAATTAACAAATTCTACAGATTGTAGATTCTTAAAAAGGAGCATATTCTACAGATTGTGTTTCTGTGCGCTGCTCTGGTTCGCCAGAAGCGGCTTAGTCCTGCTGGCCACATGACCTGGAAGCTGTACCCCAGCTCCCTCGGCCAATAAAGTGAGATGAGCGCCGCAACCCCAGAGTTGTTCACGACTGGACCTAATGGTCAGGGGTCCCTTTACCTTTACAGATTGTGTAATGCAGTTTTCCAGTAAAAAAATGCATATGAAGTATGCATAAAATGAATAAGGAAAAAGCATACATAAATGCATTGCATTAAGGTAAATTACTTGTTAAAAGTATATACTGTATTAGGATAAATGTGTCCTAAAAACCTGGCAAATTTCATGAGGACTTTTGCAATTGCAGTTGCAGACTGACATGAAAATGTGACAAACTACACTTAAGATTGGAAACTTGAATTTAGCATTTGGGGTAAGGCTAATACACTTAAGATGAATATATTGCCATGGATAATATATGAACTTTGTGGTATTTCCCCAAGTATATTTTCAAACGATTAATGGGATATTTAGGAAGTTTATTTGGGATAATTCACCATGTTTTTCACTTTGGTGAACCCGGCTGCCAGTATATGAAGGTGGTATTAATTTTCCAGACATTAGCTTACATTGCAAGGTGTATTTGTTACCATGTGCTCAAGATCCACATTTCCCCCCCTATTAATACCCAGCTTGGGCAGTTTAAGTGATGGTTTATTTTATACCTCTTGTTGGATGGCTAGTGTTGGGTTCTAAATAAACTTCATGCAGGCCCAGCATTTCACATTTTCCTCTGGTGGTAAACCAGACAGCTAATGACAGCTAACATACTCCCCAACTGCCCAGTTTTAAGCAGGGCATCCCAGAATCATAGAAGCCAATCCTGGTTTCTGTTTGCGTCATGGAATGTCCCAGTTTTTGGTCTGGCACTCTTCACGCCAGAGCGCTGGACCAAAAGATGGTCACTCTGTCACTTGTCAGCAGGTTTGTGCCAGAGCGCCTTCTGGAACCTTCTGAACTGAGCCAGAGTCCTGGACTGGAAGGCGCTCTGGCACGACTCTGCGGACGTCCCCATTTTTGGAATGAAGATGTTGGAGGGCGTGAGCTAATGGGAAAAATCCTTGGTAATTTTCTCCAGCGGAGAGAAGTCTGGGACTGGATTTTACACCTCGTTTCCTGATGCGGGTTCATTTGTAATTGTCAGGTTTCAGGGAATCTGATCCCTCCCACGGGGGCAGCCAAGAAGCAGATAAACAAGAGGAGTTCTTACCAAGTAATTTATTCCATAATTCACAGAGAGACACGAAGAAATGCAGTCTCCCTAAGATAATGGCATTTCCCCAAGTAAAGTCCCACCCCCTCCATCTCTCTTATCCTCCATCACCCCTGCACTGGCTGATCTGGGCTTCTGCCTCTGAGCTTTCTGTTCTACTACTTTCCTAGTCCTGGGAGAGGGGGGCTCAGGAATGCTCTCCAAAGACACTGGGTCTGTCAGCTGTCTCTCCCCTGGTGCTTCTTCTTCTTTCTGCTGTTCCTCTCCCAATATTTCTCAGCTTCCCCCCTCTGCAGCCTCTGAACGATGGCCTTCTGCAAACCATTGTTCTAAATCTATACTGTCTTCCTGTTCTTAGGAAGGTTCTGGGGGGCAGCCCCCACCATTCCTCCTCAGTCCAGCCCCTGATAGTAACCATTTTATTCATTTTCTTGTTATATTTCTTCCAGGGAGCTCAAAACAGTGTACATGGCTCTCCCCCTCCTCATTTTATCCTCACAACAATCCTGTTAGGCTAGGCTGAGAGATGGTGACTGGCACGAGGACACCTAATGAACTTCACGGCTGAGGACTGAACAGGTCCATCACTCTCACCACTACAGCGAACTGTTGTGTGAATGCCCAGCCAGCACCTCTTTCAGTTAGTGATGCAGAGAACCAGGGCCTAAGCTGCAAGCCGCCTGAGCAGTGGGGTCATGCAGTGCCTCATGGCCTGGATTTCCCATGGGAAGAGAAGCAGGGCTTCCTTTGTCCAGCGCCCCGTACTTGTCCATGCCCTGCACTTCCCTCATTATTCACTTTCTCCTTTGTAGGTAGACACAGACCATGCCTGCCACGCCGAAGAGCCAGAGATAATGCATGCATTGCTTATGTAAGTATCCACTGGCCCTTGAGAGACTCAGAATAAACTGTATGCTATTACGTGAAAAAGAACATGTGAAGGAAAGAAGAAATTCCAGGATCTACAAAAGAACTTTGGGGCAGAGCTGCTGTTTGCCCAGAACACTTTGTTTATTTTATTTCTTAAAAACGAAGAGTATTCCTTGGAGAGGTGACATTTTGTTTTCGCTTGAGTCCCATAGGTGTCAGACAGAGTGCAATTATAAATATGGCCATTTAGAAACAGAAAGCACTGGAGATATATATATATATATATATATATATATATATATATATCACATTTCAACATGTCATTCTCAACCAATTTTTGGTGTAAACAGTTACCATTCTGTACCACTAGTCGGGGGGGGGGGGAGAAGAACCTCTGCTTCAATATGATATGATATGGAGTATTGCAGGAAACTTACTTTGCAACCTGCTTGAAAGGGCAGCTTACAAAGACCTGGAAACTAACAAACAAATGAATATTGCCGCATTTTCTGACTGACTTACCAGACAAACTACTGTGAGTTAGGATCTTTGCTAATATTACTAAATTCTTTATTATATTATACAATATCAGTAAATTCTTTAGAAAGGTTTAGAAAGCAACTTCCTTCTGTCAGGAATTTCGCTAGCAGTTTGAACTGTACCCCAATAAGGGAAAAATGTTATCCTTCTTGAATGAAGCTATTTGTCTGGATATCAGTCATGAGGACGGATCTCTTTTCTCTGTTCTCTCTTTTAATTCCTTTTTCTTTTCTTCTCTTTTTCGCCTCTGGATTAACCTTTCAGTTTGGACAAAAAAAGATATTTGACAATAATCTTTGTATTTCTCTTTATGAACTCTAATGAAATTTATGGAAACAAAACAAAAATATCGACAACTAGAATGGAAACTCTGGGGCTGACAGGAGCCTGGAGGACTTGTGGGAAAGCGGTTGCTGCTGCTGCTGCTGCTGCGCTACCCCGCACATCAGCTGTTAGGCAGGGAGGCTGAGCAGCCTAAACAATGCCCCGCTGTGCCTCTGGCCTCTGCCCTTGCTGATGTCTTCAGGCTCCGGGGAGGGTCTCCTCCCATGCCATGAGGTCTCTCTGGGTCTCTCCCACCATTTCCAGGTTTGAATTGCATTATTTCATTATTTCCCGGTGATGCGTGTTATACGCAAGTAGAATGCCCGTAAAGGCATAAAGGTGCCTATATGTAAAAATAAATGCTGAAAGCTCCAATTTGCATGTTGTAGCTAAACCAAACAATATAAATGTTAACCCATTTCTTTAAATATTCAAATAATATTTAAATATAGCAAGTACATCGTAGTCAATGTTTCTCTCTCTCTCTCTCTCTCTCTCTCTCTCTCTGTAACCTTATAAGCGTGCAGCCTTTTATACGAAGGATATTTTCTTCCTCATTCATAGGCTACATTAATACGCTAAAAGTGTCTGCACACTCTGTACACTGAATCACATCTTAAACCATTCCAACATAATTGCACAGTGTTTTTCTCTCCAGACCTTGCAATAACATTTTAAAATCCTCTAATTTAAAACAGTTAAAGACCGAGAAAAAGGGAAATAAGCAAATGAATCCTCCCAAGGGAAGGAGGAAGACTTACTTCTTCCAGGTTTTAATTTCTATTTCTGCTCGTTTGCTCCACACAACCTTCAGTTGTGTTCTCCAATGCCCCTCCCTGCATGTCTCCATATAAAATGACAGAAATAGGGGTTGGAGTCAAGACAGTGGTCTCTGCTATGGAATTCCCTGCGGTGGAATTCCCTGTCATAACACATGATAATGATTACTAGTTTAGGTGACCTTGGAAAAAGGAGCTGGACTGCTCCTTTTCAGAGAAGAGTTGCCTATTAATGCCCATCAGCCACAAAAACTAACTGAAGCTTATGTGTCCTGCAGGAGTTTACCTCTGAATACCAAAAGATGACAAACAATTGGCGGGGGGGGGGGCACGGCTGCCTTCATACTATGCTTGGAGGGTTCTGGAAACATCTGGCTGGTTACTGGAGGAAGCAGGATGCTGCATTTGAGAGGTAACGTGCCTACGAGTTTCACCCTCTTCCAGTTCTGTCACCCATGTGCACTATGGACGGATCTACACTCATGGTTTTTAACGTTAAAGAAGGGTTTTGATAATGTAGGTGGACACATGACATGCTACTTTTAACATTCTAGTACGTTTTTTTAAAAATAAAGTTATTTATTTGGTTTTTCAGATTAACATTTTACAGTCACATATCCAACATAGAAATAAGATTCCAAAGAATCTCCTGGACCTCCTTCCTCCCCTTTGTGGATCCTATTGTAAATCATTTCCTCCTGAATCTTTTATAATAACCCAAATCTTTTACCTCTCCAATGTGTCCAAAATTCACCATTAAACTACAAGTGTTATTTCAATCCTACTAACGATTTTAACTGTTTACAATGGTTTTTTAAGATAAATTATAAAATTTTCCCATTCCTTATTAAAATTTTGGTCTTCCTGATTTCTGATTCTTCCGGTCATTTTAGCCATTTCGGCATAATCCACCAACTTGATCTGCCATTCTTCTCTGTTCAGGACTTTATCTTCTTTCCATCTCTGAGCCAGTGACATCCGCACAGCTGTGGTCACATGCATAAATAGTCTTTTCTGCTCCCTTGGGATTTCGGCACCTAGAATTCCTAAAAGGAAGGCTCATCATGCATTATTTGTTGTTGTTGTTGTTCAGTCGTGTCCGACTCTTTGTGACCCCATGGACCAGAGCACGCCAGGCACTTCTGT